TTTCAGTACATTTGTATTTTTGACACTGAAATCCTTAAAACCACTATGTTTTGTAATATTTGAATCAATTATGTATATGTGTTACAAAAGATTAAGACAGCACTGTTTCATAAACATACAGTCACCTTTGACCTTCCTATACAAAATAAAAACTTATAGATGAAAGGTTTTTAAGACCCCATTTGATACAGTAAAAAAAAGAATAAGAGACATTTGTGATGATTAGAATGGCAGTGATTAGGCTGAAATGGTAGCCAGGAGAGATTAGCCCTACCTGGTTGACTGACAATTAGTAGAGGAAATGTTCCAGAACATTAGACCCCCATCTGTTGGCTACTGGTGCACTCTCTTCAAATTCCTTAGTTGATTGTATTTGTTAAAAGTGTATACATGATAGGTTATTGCCTGCCTACTTCTGGTTTCTGATTTGAAAAAAAAAAGGTCGGCATAAATTCATTACATTCTTTGTGTCCAGTTTGTAATGATTATACAGTCATACCTGTGTTTAACACAACCTCTGAAGAAAGACCACGTTATGAAAAACCTGTCATGAAAGGCCACTTTTTTATCACATTTAATTCAGATTATTTAGTAGGACCACTTAGCAACATAAATCACATTATTTTTACTTTTACTGATCTTTCTATAAAAAAAAGTTTCTCTGTTGTTTTTTTTGCAATGTTTTAGCTGTTACATATTGATTGTGATAGACAGAACACTTTGACCTTTGACCTATATATAGTAATATTAGATATTTTGCATCAAAGTCAATCCAATACAAAATCAAACCTCTCTTAGGTATTTACCTTTCTGCTTGGAGCTTATCTCATTAGAATAAATTCTTCTTGTCTAATGTATGCTATAATGTTATCCAAGCAATATTTTGATTTACTAAAAAATAATGGAGAGCATATTTTAAGTAGAAACATTCATTGAAATAACCAGGCTAAATCACTAGAATGAGAAGGTATTGATTTGGCAGTTATGCATGCAGTGGTTTGAGTTACAGAGGCACAGAATAACATACAGAAAGTGCAATATTATTCTGCATGTTATTATTGTGTCAGAAACTGTAAGTAATGGTGTAGTAAAATGCCAATGCCAGTTATAGAATGGATCCTGTTATGTTATAACATGCCAATAATATATAAGTTATGTTATTAGATCAGGTCATGTCCATGATAAAGTATGTCAGTTATCATGTCATTTCCATGATAATGTATGTCAATGATAAGGTCAGGGTTTTCATTTTATCTGAGGCAACAGCTAGATGCTCCAATTTTGTCAAGGGTGATACTTTAATACACAGGAAGAAAATAAAATTGATTTTAACCGATGGTTTGGATCGCCAATCGGTTAATAATGAAAACCCTGTAAGTTATGGTGTTATAACATGAAGGTTAAAATGTTATTGCACTTTAACATGTCAGTGATATATTTATGATTTTATAACATGATGATTATAATGTTATTGCACTTTAAATTGTCAATGTGACATTTATGATGTTATAACTTGATGATTATGATGTAATTGTACTTTAACATGCCATTGTGACATTTAAGATGTTATAACATGATGATTATTGTGTTATTGCACTTCAACATGGCATTGTGACATTTATGATGTAATAACATGAAGATTATTATTCTATTGCACTTCAACATGTCATTGTGACATTTATCATGTTATAACATGAAGATTATAATTTTATTGCATTTTAACATGTCATTGTGACATTTATCATGTTATAACATGAAGATAATAATTTTATTGCATTTTAACATGTCAATGGGACATTTGAGATGTTATAACATGAAGATTTTAATGTTGTTGCCTTTTAACATGTCAATGGGACATTTGAGATGTTATAACATGAAGATTATTATTCTATTGCACTTTAACATGTCAATGGGACATTTGAGATGTTATAACATGAAGATTTTAATGTTGTTGCCTTTTATCATGTCAATGAGACATTTATTGTGTTATAACATGATGAGTATAATTTAATTGGACTTTAACATGTCAATATGACATTTATGATGTTATAACATGATGTTATAATGTTAGTGCACTTTAACATGTCAATGTGACATTTATTACAGCTAGGGTCATAGTATGACAAACAATCAAGTTTAAATTCCTAACAAGCTCAATTTGTGCAATGGACTTCACTCAGCATTGATTTTGGAATGGACCATTGTTTTTAAAGGGATTCCAATATAGTAATGCCTGGTTTTCAATTAAAATAAAATGACATTTTAGCAGTTAGACTGTATGTTCATACTTGCTAGTCACTATTACATTACAAGTGTAAACTTAGGAAGGTTATAAGAATGTCACAAGGATATTAAGGAATTATTTAAAGAACTGTCTAATGCTTGTTCATCATCAATTTGAAAAGAAAAATAGGGTGAAATAGGCAAAAATGTGGCAGAGGTGAATAATCCAATCTCTTTTGCAATGTCATACATAAATCTGTAAAAATGCAAGCTCATTATTTTCACATAAAGACACTATATTTTGGTTAAGAAAAATACCATAGTAAAGTGATAAAGAGCTCTTCCTATGATGGAATTTAGCAGTATTTAACATTTTGTATTGCATAGATCTGTGCAATGTTTCACTGTGAGAAAGTTTGGTATATCTCTGTAAGACATGCTACAACAGTTAATAAAGCATCATTATAATTAATTGACAGATGTTATAGAATTTATATTTCACCTGTATTGAGCACGAGAAATATGTAAGTTATTAATTATTTTAGATAATGATGCTAAAACACTTTGTATGGAAAGATTTGTTCCTCATGGGTCTTGTTTCAGAATAATATAGTTTTGAAAATAATGTTTAGGTTTATTCCAACTCTTGTTTGATCTTTCAAATTGAAACTATCCTTCTTAAGTTGCTAACCCAACAAGTGGCGCCATGGCCGAGTGGTAAAGGCATCAGACTTGTAATCTAATAATTGTTGGCCGCATGGGTTCAAACCCCATCAGAGTCAAGCTGTAGTTTCCTTGAGCAAGAAACTTTATACTCATTGCTTAGTACTGGATGGTTCTAGGAACAGATTCGAGAGTGTTTCCATAAATTTATAGCTTCCAACTTAAAAACTAAAACAAATTCATATAAACTAAACCAACCCAACAAGAAAGAGCCTGGTTAGATATGGCTTGTGTTTGATGGCAAAGGGCTAATTATCACTATCAGTAGGTTGAGAAGTATATTTTTTATGTAGCAAAATAATATATCCATGATATTTTGACATGACACAAAAAGGGGGCATCAGTGGCAGAGTGGTTAAGGTCATTGATTTCGTACCACTTGCCCCTAACCGCTGTGCGTTCGAATCTCGACAAGGACTTTCATATGAGGAAACTGTCTAGCTAGGTTACAGAACATCTGTGGTTCTACTCTGGTGTCCGAAATAAAGCACGGAATGGCACCTGAGTTCTGCTTCCACAAGTAAAGATGGAAAGTCACCATATGACCTATACTGTGTTGGTGCGAGTAAGACCCAAGCAAAAAAGCATGACTGAAAAGTTTGTTGTCTTAACTCATATTCATCACTCTTAAGCCTGTATGATATTGTGTGGTCCAGCTAGGGTGCCTTGGTTTTTAAGCTGACAAACCTGTTTTAAATGTTTAAATGGCTCATTTATTCAGTATTCATCAATGTTAGTGTTAGACAAGGTTATCTGACCTAGTATTTTGATATATTGCTGTACAGATTTGAAATATTTTTTTTTCAAGTTCTGAATATTCCATGAAGGAATGGAGTTTGTTGTATTAATCTGGCAGTGTGAACACTTTGTGACTTTATCTTCTAGTTTATCACAGTGATTTACCCACCTGGGAACAGGTGCTCTCATCATGGGGCAACATTATTTTAAGAAGTATTCATTATTTAAAGATAGATACGAGGCATATTTGTATGAAAAAATTAAAAATATAAGGAAAAAGTGTTAATTACAAAAGATTTAATGGTTAGATCAGATTTAAAATTTGGTTAAATCACTAAGAAGAATATAGGGCTAGTTTTATGGGACTCCTTTGCAGAGAAATTGTTATAAATTTCCTCTCTGCTGCAGTATGTTTAAGTCCTGCTTTGGATGTTGTGCTTTCCAGGGTGTGTGCAGGCTTGTGCTTGATATAATGTCTGAATACCCTTTGGGGGCAGTCCACCTCCAACAGTGAATGTTTCAACAGCATAATATGACTTAATAGCAAAAAAATCATTGTAAAGCATAAAATTAGGGCTTTTACTTAAATGTTCATAGTTAACTGTTAGCCTGTAGGTGGCAGATGATTCTTTCTACCTGCCACCAGTGCAGACCAAGATCAACTGGCACATCCATGGTCTGCACTGTTTGTTATTAAGACCTATTTTAAAAAAATCCCTTAAGAAGATGAATAATGCATCTAACAGAGTACCTCAAGTCTTGAACAAGGTGTTATGACCTGAATGGATGTCAGTGGGTTAACAGCGTTAGCAGCAAACCTAGATAATTATCTTAGACACAACAACACATTGATAGAGAGAGGAAAGAAATGCAATCTCACACCAGTATTTTCCCTTTAATTTTTTTATCCTATTAAAATTGTAATCTGATTAAATTGGAAAGAATGTTCAGAGATGGGTAATTAAGTAAATGATGGGAGAACTATTTCAGTGTATCCCAGCTTGATATCCCCAGATGCACCTGATAGATGAGTAAAAGTGCCTGATTGTTTTTTGCTAGAGGGAAATACAATATTGTTATTCAAACTGAATTTGATGAACTATGAATAGAAATTGTTGATAAGGACGAAGATAATACAGAGTTTTGCTGACATGATTGTTGAAAACAAATATCATTTGTAAACATATGATAAAACATTTAGAAAAAACTCATTAAGACCTCCCAATATAAGGGTGAAGTGGGGTTATTTAAGTTAGGTTATTTATGTATAATATTTTGATAGCATAGTTTAGATTGTTCTGTCTCTCTGTTTTCAGATTCCTTTGTAAATAGTCAAGAATGGACCCTGAGTCGTTCTGTTCCAGATCTCAAACTGGTAAGTTTCTTGCGATCAGTTCCAGAACTCAAATTGGTAAGTTGATGAGACACTGATTTTTTAAAGACTGATAATGCCATTGTAATAGTTTGATCTTAAGTGTAAGAAAAGTACACACAATGTAAGCCTTATCATACATTGTCAACCTGAAGTCATCATGGTCTTTTAGGCAAGGTGTTTAAAGCTGCATGTCTCCAGATGAGCCAAAATATTTCAGTAAAATTAAACTTGAAAAAAAAATGTACTGAGCTTTTAAGAAAAGTAAAAGATTCAAAATCCAAGTAATGATTTTCATATATTGTGCCATTAGTAACCAATATTGAAGTATTAATCAGCATATTGATCAGCATATTTGACTGTGTGGTTAATGTTTCAACTATTTGACTTAGGTAGTAATGGCTATTTTTGCATATTTTGACCTCTTTGGTTATAAGCATTGATTGTAAGAGCTGTTTTCAATGTGTAAATTACATTCTTTGTTCACTTTACAATATTTTACTTTTTAAATACATTTTCATCAAAAATTAAGATTGATCTGGAGGCATGCTGCTTTAAGTTTGTAGACTGAATCATATGCAACACTGCAAGTTTTAATCTTGGTGTTAAAGACATGTGAGCTTACTATAACTACAGAAGGTTGATGGTTCTACTCTGCTGAAGCTTGTGTCTAAAATAATGCATGGAGAGGCACTTGAAGGTCTTTCTTCACCAGGAAGTCACCACATTTCCTTTAAAGTGTCAGTGTAACTAAAAAAAGTAAAATCATATGAAAAATTCAAGAAACCTCTATTCTTGTGATAATGAGATAAAAAGTTTTTTCACACATTAACATCTGGCCAAATATTTGTTTTGCTGCTATAATGAAAGCAGAACTAATTGGTAACAAATAATGAGTAAAATTTGGAATGATTTGTTTATCTGTCTGCGTTTCATTTTGAGCCATTGCAAAGTTAGATGTGTACAAGTTATAAATTGTGTATTTTAGGGTATATTGGGATCAGTGCAGAGTGGCAAGTCAGCATTAGTTCACAGGTACTTGACGGGATCCTACATGCAGGAAGAGTCACCTGAAGGTAAATTATACACTAAAATTTATTTCCCCCATCTCCCTTGGCCCTTCAAATAAATAATACAATTATCCCCATGTCATTATGGATTTGTCCTACCTTGAATATGGAACTGTCATTTTGTCACCATACTGCAGTAACGGGTTAACTCCTATTAAGTTTTTTAAGGATTTAATCCATTACTGCACTAATATGACAATTTGTTAATGTCGGGGGCTTTAGATATCAAAATGCTTAAAGTAAAAGCAGTCAGCAATATAGGGAATGGTAGGATTGCATAATTGTAGAGACTGGTTTGGCTCTGTACTTGTGGCATAGGCATATTGCACTTAAATAAAACAACCGTCATGTCAGTTTCAATTGTAATATTGGTACTGGTTTTAGCATGAGAGTCTCTGAGAACTTAAGAATCTGATGTTTTAAATTCTGGTAGGTTTATCCTATTGCAGCCTGCTATTAAAGTAAATTAATATGATATTATGTTGATTGTAAATTGTTCAGTGGCTTTTGTAAATGTTTGCAACTACCTTTATTCATTGTGTTGCAGGTGGGCGATTTAAAAAAGAAGTGATCATAGATGGACAGAGTTATCTTCTCTTGATACGTGATGAAGGAGGGGCCCCTGAAATGCAAGTAAGTAAAAAAAAAAGTGTTTTTTTTTTCGAAATTTCACATGTATAAGCTTTGAAATTGCGCATCCTTTGAAATAAATGTTTCTTGTCAAGTGATTTCTCTCATTCAAAAGTGTTGACATTAAAAAGTTTCATATACAAAAGTATAAACCAATAATTCTTCTTAGAACAAAGACTTTATAAATCTGGTATTTGTAAGAAAGAGCTTTGCAAAAGAAAGGGGTCTAGTTATTTATGTCTCTTTGTTCATCAAATTTTCTATTAAAAAGTACTTGTGTTCCTCTTGAATTCTATTTTGAAAGTGGCATTTTCTTGAACAATTCAATAAAACATAGCACATTTCAAGTATATTGTCATTAAATCATGATAAAATTATGAAGTATATGTAACTATTTTGCTTGGAAAGGTTTTAACACTCTTAAAAAAATCTTATTATGTTTTAAGAGTAGGTATTGATAAAAGTGAGAGGGTCTGGAGAGGATGAAAGATTAGTTTCTGTTGTAAAATATTGAATGTCATCCTTTTGATGTAATTTTTCTGTTGAATTAATTTGTTTTCCTAGAAAAATTTTCATGTATTAGTTTTTGCAAAGATTGATTTGAGCATCCAATGAAATTTATTTCTGCAAATTTGGCTATGAACAATCAATGACGTTATTGTAGAAAGAAATTAATTTCATAGATGTTATCTAATTTTTGTTTACTGTCACTGAGTTGAGAGATCACAAAATTTGGAACTACTTTCTTTGTAATGTCAGTTTGTAGATGTTGTAATTAAGAACTATTTTCTTTGACAGTTTACTCGGTGGTAAAATGTTGTAATAAACTATAAAGAGCTATTTTCTGTGACAGTTTAATCATTTAATAGATGGTCCAATTTAGAACTATTTTCTTTGATAGTTTACACAGTTTATAGATATTATAATTAAGAACTGTTTTCTTTGACAGTTTACTCAGTGGGTAGATGCTGTGATATTTGTGTTCAGTTTGGAGAATGAGATCAGCTTTCAGTCCGTCTATCAATACTACCTGAAGATGACACACTTCAGAAATACTGCAGAAATCCCCCTTATACTTGTTGGTACTCAAGGTATGTACTCATTTACAGAGTAGTAATCAAAAGCATGTCACAGGTTCCATAATTTTCAGTTAATATTCTATATGACATACATATCTAATGTATGAAATGAAATACAGGCATCACATGTTCATTTTTCTGCTAATCCAACTTAAATTACTTAAAACTTAAAACTGGGTCCTAGGTATGCTTTACACCTTGTAGGCCAGGGAACCATAGATAGATTTGCCCCTGTCTGTCTGTTTGTCTGTCTGCCCTTCTGTCTGTGTTGCTGTCCTGCTGTTGTGTAGACTGTCAATAAAAAAGTGAAATGTGGTGGCTTCCATGTCCTATGGACAGACTTCTAGTTTCCTTTTAAAACAGAGGCAATTCCTATATCAGCTGCAATAACCTTGAAAAAAATTACTAAAACATCTTCATACTCATATAAATATTTGTAATTATTGCCTGCATACATTTCCATTAGCAACAATAAATAAAAAAAAGTTAAGTGGCATTTGATTATTTTTGTGCCTAAGTATGTAGTAATGTGACAGATTTATCTGTTAATGTAGTCATGTTGTAATATTGCAAAGATAATGCACTTTTGTGGCATTTATTTTCCAAGATACCTAGTTATATTTTCCAGACAAAAAATACAAAATTATATAGCATTTTGCTGTTGAAAGCAATATATTAATTGGCATTCATTATTAAAGTGTGAACTTGACATTCATTATTAAAGTGTGAACTTTTATGTCATTCAATAGTGAAGAGTGAAGTTATATGGCATGTGTTATATGGTTATATTGTTTTTGTACTTGATAATCTTATCTATACTCAATATTTTTGTATGAATAGTTAATTTCTTTACTAAACTCACCTAAGTCACATTTACGAGTAAATTTATCATTAAAATGGCAAAATGGCACTGATTCTGTGAATCTTATTGCTGTTATGGTATTCATTTGGAAAGTGTACAGAGGACATTATCTAAGATTAGAACTGATGAAAACTCACAATCTTACAGAAGTCTAGCATCAGTTAGTCGGAGTTATTTTTATTAGCTCTTGGAAATTATCTAATAGCTGGAAGAATGCTGCTATCAGATGGGCTTAACTGGTGCAAAAACTTGAGATAAAAAAACAAGATAAAAGTTTTAAGTTTTGCCGATTGAACGTAAAGATAAGTTAAATCATTTACACCCATGACTTTTGCTACTTTTTCTACTCCTTCTTAAACAGGGGTTAGCTCCTTTATTTACTTTCATAATTATTCTCAAAAGGATTCATGGATAAATGTGATTGTGAAATGATTATATATGTTATTGGAACCAAAAGATAAGAAAAGAAAAAGAAATATGTCACTTACATCAAAATTTTCTGTTAAGTGTTTATATAAAAACTTTGTAAATTTTTTTTCGTAACATCAAAATTTTCTGTTAGATAATCCATGGCATCAATGTGGTATCATTTAGTAGTTTGAAACCTTAACTCTGACATTTGACATTCACATAAGCGTGACTACTGTGAATTGACATAGTAAACGATATTCCAGACACAAACAGATTTTTTTTTTTGAAAAAGATATACATTTTATTCGTTTATTAATTTGAGTTTTGTAATATTGAGATAAAGCAGGTGAAGGCAACATGGAGATATTTAGGATAAGATGTTTGATACTTCCTCAAGTATGCCCCCAGAAACCTTCTCCAGGCATAGATAGTGCCGTGTCAGGTGGAATTTCCATATTTCTTAGTACAGTGTATTAAATGTTATTAAAATGTATTAACAAATGGTCAAGTAAAATGATATACTGCAGGGGTCTAAGATTTGGTGGTGTTTAACCTGATTAGTAAATTTGTATTTGTTTGTTTTTCTTAAAGCATCTAGTCTTTAAAAAAAAATATTTTGAAAAAGACCTTTCTATGATAAATTGATATTAAAGGGATAAAAATTCAGTAATAGTATTATTATGTAAAAGTGATCTTAGCCTTACTGTGGACAAACCACAAAGAGCATTTCATTGGATTTTGAATATTTATGCATTAAATATTCTTAAACTCTTAATTTACTTTTTATGTTTATTTTTTCTCAACATTTTGCTGATTCATCAAGAGAATTGTAGCTTTCATTTGTAATGTCAATGTAACTTTTATGGATATTTTATACTTTCTGAATAACAAGAGATACAGTAAATAATGCAGGTTTTTTTTTTTAATTGTTAACATTTTTGAAAATATAACTACATGTACTACAAAAATCATAAATTAAGTCCCTGTTGATAACAATAATTGATATTAAACATGTTCCAGACAAGATAAATGAACTAGTCTCTTATGTAATGTAACATTATTTCAGATTACTTAATAAATGAGCCACATCACAACAAAACCAACAAAGTGCGTTTGCGACCAGTTTGGATCCAGACCAGCCTGGGCATCCATGCAGTCTGATCAAGATCCATGCTGTTCGCTTACCAACCCTATTACAAGTAGAGAACTGATAGCGAACAGCATGGATCCTGATCAGACTGCGCGGATGCGCAGGCTGGTCTGGATCCATGCTGGTCGCAAAAGCATTATGTTGGTTTTGTCGTGACACGGCTCAAATTTATATTTTGGTGTTTATTGCAGTGTAGAAAACCCATTGAAAAAGGTAGATAAATATAGGAATCGGTAGATTATCCCATTAATTACCAAACATGGGTGACATTTTCTTGGCTCAGATGATTAATGGGGTTTCTTGCAAAAATCAGTCCTACAAGAATATAAACAAATTGATATAGTAATAGAAAGATAGAATTGTATATGAGAGTTTCTAAATGAAAATAATTATTTCACTGAAGCTCGAAATTAGACTTAAAGTTTCTCTGGGGAAATGAATTTCCAAGATAAATTTCTGGAATACATATCTAAACACATTTTCTTTTATACATCAATGGGCCAATTGTTTCTGTAATGATCATAGCACAGTGTTGAGCAATATTTCTGCATTAGTAAAAGGCTAATTAAAAGAAAAATGAATGAAGTTATTAGAGTGTTTTCCTGCTAGTGCATGGGTTGTATTAATTTAACAAATGTTCTAAACAAGCAAAATGTAATTAACTCATTTTTTGATGAATGATAAAAAAAAATGTTTTTGTTCAAGAGTAATCTGTGTATTTATTTCCGGAAATTTAAAACAAATATGACATTGTGCTATAAATAGATCAAGTGAAATGAGTGCAGTTAGGTCTAACTAAACACTGTGTCCCTCATTAATCGAAAACAACTGAAGAGTCAAATAGTCTGCAGTAGGGACATATTACGCATCTGCAAAATTTTTACATGCTGGAGCAGAGGTACAGTGTGAATAACCGTAGAAAGGATTTCATGATTTATCACAACAAACATGTCCAGCACAGTCCGGGACTCAAACCCAGGTTACCTGCTCTACCTATTGAGCTGACTGGATGGCTTGGGGGACAGGGGGACATAGATTTGTTCAGCTGTCAAGCTTATCAGGATTGACAAAACAGCAGAATGTTGGGGCATCCATGTCATATGGACATTGTTTTTAATGTTCCTTTAAAAATGTTTCATTTTCTTTGCCAATTAATTTCAATATTTCACCTATTTCGTGGGTGTTAAAGATTTAGAAGTTTTTCTGGAGAGAAGAATTAAATGCAATCATAAAATCTTTTTGTTGAAATAAAAATCATCCTAAAGAGAGAATGATAACCTGAAATTCAATTATTTCCATTTTACTGTCCATTTATTTCCTTGGGGTTGTAAGGTGAGTGGGAGTCAGGTTGATAATTGAGAAATGTGTTTGTTGTTCATGAAAATGTTTGAAATACTGGCCATTATTTTCCTATGTTGTGTTTCATACAACTTACTGGAATGAAAATTGAAGATTGAAAGGGAAATAAATGATACTGTAGAATTTTAATTTCCTTTACAGAGTGGATTTGATTAAGATTTAAATCGGATAATGCTCTATGAAAATAAAAACCATGTTCTCTGATGTACATACAATAAAACTTTTTTATCTTCAAAGGGGTAACACCCCTTTATGAACATTTATTTCTAATTAATCTTGATGTAAAATGTGTGTTAATAATGATTTAAATCTGTACATACCTAAAACATGAGCAGTTGCATCTTTATCTAGCGTTGTACCATGTTTATGATTTAAAACGTTGATAAATTCTGGCTCAAATCTGTCTTTCTTTTCATGTTAAGGTTCTTAGAAAACTTCTGTAGAAATGAAGCAAAAGTCTGGTTTTCAAGTATTGGTGAAATTTCAGTTACAATATCCAACTTAACTAGTACATTATCAAAAACTTCAATGTAATGATGCTGTTGACAGCCATGTACCATTTTCATCTTAATGATTTTGTCTTGCCAAAAGACATGGTTGCCTTTGTTATATTTATAATTTTGTATTGAATGGCTTTGATAGAACTTCAGCTCTGATTTCAAAGTTAGTTTGACAATTATAGTCTTTTGTAACTGATAAAATTTTGCTCTGGTTTTTAGGTGCAGTTCTAGTAAGTTGCTATTTTCCATCATTCAATAATTGCCCCTCTGGTTTAGTCAAAAAATGACCCCTATTCAGATTATTGAAAAATACATAATATTAATAATAGGCTGAGTTGTTAAGGTTGCTGACTTCTAAACACTTATCATTCACCACTTTAGGTTCAAATCCCACGTGGGACTTTGGATTCTTCCATAGAGGAAGCTATGGAAGTAGGTTATAGAATATCTGAATATCTACTATGTCTCATAAATCCGCTTATGCCTGAAATAAACACATGCAAGAGCACCTGAAATATTACACCACCGTGAAGCAGGAAACACTGCCATACTTTTACAGTGTTGATGTGGCTTGAAATTACAAAAAAAAGAGTAAAACTTTCAGGTCAATAATAAAAGCTGCAAATTCTTTTCTACTAAATCAAGTGAAGAAAGCAGACAAAGTTATTGCAGGTAAATAAGTAGAGTAGTCTGCTCTTGGTTTATGACTCAAATGCTATCTAATAAAAAA